ATCATCATCATCATCATCATGACCGCCACCCTCCATCATCGTCGCCTTCGAAGAAATAGCAGCTTCAGCGGCAGCGGAAGTAGAACAGGATTCCAGGCAAGAATTCTGTCAATGAAGAGCGTTGCAGCTGTCTAAACCCAAAATCTCCTAAACCCTAGACCCAAAATCCTAGACCTGAACCCCAAAACGCATCCCAGCCCTTGTGGTCACAGGCTCTTCGGGCTCATGGTGACAAAAGGGCATGTGATTTTTGGGTTTACGGCTTAGACTACCTAACCAAAAACCTACAGCCCAAAGCCAAAACCTTGAGCGCGTAGAGAAGTTCATTCAACCTCCAAAATAAGCAAAATAATGACCAATAGCCTATCAATGTGGCGGGGCCTCATCTTGGTGCCTTCTGCCAAACTTCGCCCGTGGACCAGCTGAGGAAATCGCTGTGAAGGTCGGCATCCGCCTAGCCGGTCCATCCAGGGACGAGGGTTTAGGGTTAGGGCCTAGGGTTTAGGCATAGAGCCTTTAGGGATCTTTAGGGTTTAGGGGGTTTGGGATTTGGGATGTTGGGGGCTTTAGGGCTTAGGGAATCGGAAGGGCTTGGGGCTTGGGATTTAGCTGATGAGCCGCGCCTGGCGCAATCGGTCAAAGAATCGAATCAGGCTTGGGGGCCAAAGTGTAGGTAGGTTCAGGATTGACAGGGGTTTAGGGTTCAGGATTAAGGCTTTTCAATTTTGAGGGCAGACGTGGTTGTTTGGTGTGAGGATTGATGGTTGCATGTCAGAGTAAAATTCGACGAAGATTTGGAGCTGATGGCTACTTGGGGTGTAAAGGCAATCATTACTACCTACAGGCGCAGCCCCAAACCCAAACCTTCCTATGGCATCTGTTCTCAGCCTGCCAGAAATCGCCATAGAGCAGCACGAGTATTGCTGCCTGCGTGCAAAATGGGGTTCATGGTTCAGGATTCAGGGCTAAGATGAGGTGATCTTCGGAGTAAGGAACAGCTCAAGCTGGGCTGCATGTGTGTAGGAGTCTAGCACGAATGCATGCTGTATATTGGCTCACGCTCTTCTTTCTGCATGCAGCAGGAAAGTCAGCCAGCCTAGCGGCGCCTAGTGTAAACCCCTAAGGCTACACGAGTTGGTCACTGCTTTTTCCTGCCAAGTTGGCCCAAAAAGACTAGCATCTTGCTTTGACTAAGCCATATGGGTTTGTTCACCAAGCATCGGAGTGTGGCAGGATGAGTTTTGCGTCGTGTGAACAATCTCTACTCCGATTATCGCCTTCTAGTTCTTAGGTAGCTACAGTATCATGTGCTCCAAAGGATTATCGTAATTATGTAGGCCTCGAGGCGTGTTGCAAACATGCTGAAACCCCTGCACCCCTCCAACCTGACCCCCCAACAGGGTTTCGGGTTCAGGATTTAGGGTTCAGGCTTTAGGGTTCAGGGTTTAGCGAGTCTAAGGTCATGAGCCTTGTCGGAGGTTGCTCGCTGCACTTTGACAGCAGACGTCTCGCCATCCTTGCAGCATTACATTACGCCATACTTTGGTACCGTTCTTCTATAACTTATGAGTATACGCTTCTACTGAACCGTGGTATTCTACCGTTCTACTACAGGATGTTGCCCTGGGTACATAACCTCCCTAAGCTGGATATCTCTGAACTAAATGGTAGTTTCCATTTTCTTTTCCATTATCCCAATATAGCCCTACTATGTACCCTATAATCCCTATATAAACCCAATGTAGTAATTTCCATGTTCTCTTCCACTATCCCAATATAACCCTAATCTATACCCTGTAATCCCTTGTAGTCTATCCTTGGGAGTGGCCTCAAAATTTGGACTACCATTTTGGGGGTCCCAATAAAAGGGATTGTAAACTTTGGGGTCTATATTCGGTTCCCCCCTATTTTTGGAAACTACTCGTTCTGCTACACGTGGACACTACATGTGAGGATGGAGTGGCGGATGAAAGTGCCTCAAAATCAAGGTCGCTTTTGGAACTCTGGAATATTAGGAGGCTACACAGGTTTCTGCGGAGGTCCTTAGTCATCAGGGGTCGCACAGGAATAGATTTAAATTCCGGTAAGCAAGTAGGCAGGTAGGAGATTTGAATTCCATTTCAGAAAACAAAAGAGCAAATTGAGACCGTAGCGCACTTTTGCAGATCCGCGGCCCTGGACCCTAAGAACCCTAAAATCCCTTGAGTCCTAAACTCTTCAGCCCCAAACACCAAAACAGTAAAGCCCTAGGCTTTAGACCATCCTGAAACCCTACGCCCAAAAAGTCCTACACCCTGAAACAGTAAACCTAAACCTTAAACCCCCTAAACCCCCCAAACAGCCTCGATCATCACCAAGGAGTCCCCATGGAATCCTTGGGGTTTGAGGGTTTGGGCTCAGGGTTTAGGATTGAAGGGTTAGTGTTTAAGGCTTAGGATTCAAGGCTTAGGATTTAGGGTTTAAGATTGAGGGCTTGGGACTTAAGAATTCGGATTCAGGGTGCTTAGGATTTAAGGTTTAGGGCAAAGGAATTGTTTTTGGATGTGTTTAGGGTGTAGGGCTTGGGGTTTACGGCAATTAGTTGTGGTTTGGAGCTGGGGCATGTGAAAGCTCTGAGATCATGGGTCCTTTCTCTGTCATGGGTCCTTCTTTCTGGGGGCTACTTGCAACAACGGGGGGATACAATGTGACCTCTTTGTTGCGAAATGTCGAATTCCCTACGAAACCAGGAAGAAAGCAAGCTTAGTGTACCAAGAACGCTGAGTTATGACAAGGAACCTGACAAGGACAATCCTACGACCACAACTCCTTCTAGATCGCAATCCCGAACCTCCTTACTTCCTAAACCCTAAACCTCTTTTGCAGCGGTCTGCAGGTCGCACATGCACCTACAATAAACATGACATGGATGAATGTCAACATTGTAGCCCAGTGTAACCCTAGATATCAGGGAGCGTTTTGCAATGGGAAGGAAAAACACAGCTTTGAGAGCCACTACATCCCAACATGCTTTTCATGTCTATAACCCTGTTCTGTCTTGTTGCATCACGGAAAAAGCAAGTGACGCTGAAAGTGCGTTTTAGCTGTTAGTGGGGGATCCTCGCACCCTGCAATCTAAGAGCACAGCGGTACTCCCAAGTACAAGACAATTTGAGCCTCCAACCCCAAGCTTTAAACCCCAAAAACCGTACCTTTTAGGGGATTAAGGCTTAGGGGTTTAGGGCTAAGGGGTTTAGGGTTTAGGAACCCCAAACCCCCCGAAACCGCCCCAACCCCTCCCAAAACCCTCAGCCGAGCGGCTTCCCACAGCGCCGTAGGAGTCCCGCCAGGTCCCAGCAAGGTGCGACAGCCAGTGCGCTTCTTGCTTCATCCTTGCTCAAAGCCAGTGAAGGGTTCAAGGCTTAGGGTGTAGGGTTTAGGGTTCAGGGTTCAGGGTTTAGGGTTTAGGATGTAGGGATTAGGGTGTAGGGCTCTAGGATTTGGGGGGCTTCCCAAAATCAGACCGTCACGTAAGAGTATCAGTATTAAAGGAGATACATGCACATATACGTACTGGGGTCTGGTAGGGACTAAGGGAATATGTTATATGAGGATTATGCAGGGATCATATTCCATTATTCCCTACTAAGCACCATCAAGTTATATAAGGGATAGATAGAGACATACAAGGTGTCATCCTTGCTCTTGGGGCTTGCCGATATAGGGGTGTTTCGAGGAGCCTCTGAGAATTTATGGAGACGTACAATACAAGGTTTAGAGGTTTAAGGTTTAGGAATGAGGTTTGGGCAGTAGGATTTAAGGTTCCTGGCTGCTCAAGGTAAGGCACCGTCAGGGGCCCTGCCCTGTCAAGGATAATCTAAATTTCGCGAAACACCCATTGCGAAGCACAGAGCTTGTACGCCAAAAGCAGGATCTACATGACCACAGGCCCAAAGAAGCACTTCAGTTCTGGAGGGTTTAGGGCTTTAGGGTTTAGGGGCAAACTGCCATCCCAAACATGAAAAATGCCGTTGCGCCGAGCAACTGCCTTCTTTGCTGCACCGACGATTCTGAGTCCTGCTGTAAGCACGCTGCACCACTGACTGGAATAACAGCCCATATTTGGGCTCTTAATAGTGATAAGGTGACCGCCATCATTGCCGATTCTTCAACTAACTCTAGCGCTAGTACTTTCAGCACTACCATGACACACTGATACTAAAACCACTGCTCTCAAATTCTTGCACTATGCAAATGGAAATACCTACACGCGAAACCCCAAGTATTTAACCCCGTATAGCCCTATGTAGCCCTAAAAACCCTATATCCCATATAATCTATACCTTGTGGCAATTTGTGGCATTGCAGTCGGTCCTTCAGCAGGAGTTGGCAACACAGCTTCTCCTTGGCTTAGGGTTTAGAGCTTTTGGTTTGGGGTTTATCGTCATTTACACGCTCTGTAAGCGGGGGGCCGTTCGTACCCTAAACCCTAAACGAATTGTACCCTTGGGTCCACATCCCTGAACCAGGGAATATGGCCATTCAGTAGGGCATGTGAGGCCCAAAAATCAAAGGGGAGAAACCTTGAGGACCCTAAACCCATGTAGGGTTAAGGGTTTGGGGTTCAGGGTTTAGTTTTTTTGTTTTGTCGGACCCTCTCCAGTGGCAGGATCCCTGGAAATGCAGATTTGCACGGCCCGTCAGGGTTTAGGCCTTAGGGTCTTGAGCAAATTTGCACCAGCAAGGCGAACAAGGAAACCTGTAGAATGATCTTTTACAAAGAAGGCCCGCAAGGAATGAATTAAGCAACATTGGCCCTTGAACAGGAATGGACACGTAAATTGAAGCTACTATGTTATCAGGCATTATATAGGGGCTACTATACGGCCTTTATGAGGTTAACTCCGAATTCCCCAGAGGAAGAAGGAAAGAAAGCAAAAAGAACAAAAAAAAATCCCTAAACCCTAAACCCTAAACAGCAACTCAGCTTCCCAATCATCTGGACTTTCATCGGCGTCTGAGGAGGCGTCGAGAGGAGCGGCCTTGGACTGCCAAACCATCTCGCGGCGTAGGCGGTTTGATGTAAGGATCTATGTGGGTCAAATTTTGGTACCCCTAAATATTAGGTGCCGTAATAAAGTATATACCCAAAAGGGGCCCATGAGGACAACCTGTGTGACTAGAATCCGGTTTTGGGACAGATGACACTTCAGCGGTATAAACCCTGCAAGAGAGTAGTATTCAAAATTATTGAGGCTCCTACGTCAATGCTTGGGGCGTCGCATCAAGAAGTCACAGGAGAACAGTAATCATAGCAACAAGTTGTGGGACATTTCTTAGTTGCACAACCATTTCATAGCAAGCCTATGGCAAGAAAGGAGGCCCGTGATAGTAGCAGTTCTGAGTTTTTGCGGAATCTGGACTACACGTCAAATCCTGAACGCTGGGCCCTGAAAATTCCAGATCTTAAACAAGAAATTAAACCTACACCCCAAACCCTGTAAACTCAGAAGTCTCTTAACTTTGAAAGCCCACAGCCTTGGACACTGAATCCCCCCAATCCTTGAAATTCTACCCTGACCTCCATAAACCCTTTCAATTCGCAAAGCCTACATCTCGAAACACCTAAACTTTTCCACCCCTAGACTTTCCAACCTCAACACCCTAAATCACCCTGAATCCCTCCATAAATCCCTAAACCCTAAAGCCCTGTACCTAAACCCTAAACCGCTAAACCCGAATCCCTACACCCTAAACCCTTATACCTGAACCCTCAATTCTCGCCAGGGCTCCGTGGCCTCATCTGATCCCGTCCTGGCGCCAGACTCCCACACGCACCGGCCCAGAAAAAAAGCCGGAGTTCAGGGCTCAGGTTTGGTAAGGTTTAGGGTTTAGGGTTTAGGGTTTAAGGTCTAGGGCTTCCGGGTATAGTGTTTAGGCTTTAAGGTTTAGGGTTTAGTAGGGTTCTGGATTTAGGTTCAAGCTTTGGGGTTTCGGATTGAGGGCTGCAAAAATTGAGGTTGAGGGCCAATGCACGGCCTGAGGATTGAGGACGTAAGCCTTAGGATGTTCTCCCTTGGGTTTGGGCCTTAGGGTTGAGGGTTTAGGGTTTGCAGCTTAAGGGTTTAGGTTCAGGGTTCTAGGTAGGATGCCACACCCCCCAGCCAATTGAAGGTGCTCTCCTGAGAGTGACCTGCGGCTGAGCTTCTGTCCGGATGCAAGGGACCACGACCCCAAATGAGCTATAGTCTAAACTCCAAGTATCCCCCTTTATAACCGCTTCACTAGTCCGCTCTAAATTTCCTCATATAACCTCCTTTAAAGCGTTTAGATTTTGGCTCACATGGCGTGGGAGCCCGACATGCCAGCTAGGAATTGCTCTGGCTGACTAAAGAGAAAAGGTTTAGGGTTTAGGGTTTATACACAAAGCTTACACTGGGTCAAGTCATGCAAGAGGAAGTCCCTGAACCATAGCGTGTGCTTCGAGCTCTGCTGTCGTGCCCTTTGGTCGGAGCTTTCCACCTGAACCCTAGACGAATCCAAACCCTAAATCCTGATCCCCAGATCAAGCTGCCCAGCCAGGAGAGCTCCAACCTACGAACACGAAATCCTAAACTAATGCGGCGGCTTCAATTACACCAACCGCTAAAATTTGGACCCTATCACAATCATACACGGGTTGCGATAACTGAAATCCCCTGACTATATACCCAGAATGCTAAACCTCCCAAACTCAAACCCTTATTCCTAATCCCTACAGCCTAATCCCTAAACCCTAAACCGCCCAAACCCTAAATACTCCTACCTTAAACACCCGTCCCAAAGCCCTGAACCCTCAAACTCGGGATCCCCCCGCCTGCACCACGATGCCCATGCAGCAAAAGTCAGGTGCAGGGACCGCCACTCTCGCTGGGCGTCCCAATGAGCCTGCATTTAGGGTTTAGGGTTTAGGGCTTAGGGCTTAGGGCTTGGGGTTTAGGGCTCGGGGTTATAGATGGATACATTGAGATAGATTACCTCGATGGAGAATCACGTGGGCTGAATTGGAAAGTGGTTTATGCAGGGAGTTAATTGTAAGGCTCGGGGTCTAGGGTTGAGGGTATAGCAGCTTGGCTTAAGGCGTGGCTCTTTACTAAGCATCGGGCCCTCAGGTTTAGGGCTTCGGCTTGAGGGCTTAGGGTGGAGTACCTGAAACACATGACCCCGAATCCAGGATTCATAGGGGGACCTAAGAAGGAGACGTACCCTACTCCTCAAATCATCAACCAGGCAGCATCCGGGTACCTAATTTGATTTTGAAAGGATTTTATAGTCATGAGGACCTGTACGAGACCCACCAACACACCAAAAGGTAGATTATTGCGGGGGGGGTGAGCACATATACATATATATATATATATACATACATACATATATATATATATGAGGGTTATATAAAGATAACTACAGTCTAAACTCCTCAACTCCAAATTCCTTGCATTTTAGAAGAACATGACAGATGACCTTCGACAATGACCCAGCAAAGAGGTCAAGCGTTCCCAAGTCTACACGAAGGGCTTAGAATTTCGGCTTAGGGTTACGGATGAGATGTTGATAGCTGGAATAGGAACCTCAAGGACAAATGCCCGACATCTTCCGACCCTTCACGCTGGGATTTAGGCCGTGGGGTGTAGGGTTGAGTGTGACAAAATACTGAGACCCGTCTTGGGGGTTCACACGAACTCCTGTAGTGTTGTGGGGGAACTTGCGAGATGCGTTAGGGAGGTATGCTACGAAACACGAATGTTATCTATGATAGAATTTCTAGAAACCGTGGAATATTGTCATAGTGTCATGGGTTACCCCGCGTACCCTTTTAGGGTTTAGGGTTTACAGCATACCTTTCAAGGCTTAGGCACCTTTCCTTGGCAGAGTGACCCCACTCTTTAACTAAGTTCTCTGCGCCCTCCCTGAAAGCGTTTGAGGCTAACCCTAAATCCCTAAAACTCTAAAGCCCAAACCGTAACCCTGAACCATTAGCTCTGATCTCTAGAGATCCTAAGATAAACAAAGCCCAAAACCTTAAACCCTAACCCCTCTTGAAACACCAAACTCGCCTAGGGCTAACAGGAAATGAAGAAATGGAGCCACAAAAAATAGCCCCAACAATATAATCGCTTCCATGTTCTTTCCCTCCCTGTATCCTATAGAACACTATGTAACCCTACTTTCCGTGTAATTTTCAATTTCCTGCCCATTCGATCCATGCTCTTTTCCACTCCTCCATTCCCTGCTCACACAGCTAAGCACAGGCAGGCAAGAATGCAAAAGAACATGGAAACTACTATATTATGATAGGGTATGTGTTAGGGTTACATTGGGATCACTGAAAAGAAATTGGAAACTACTATAATAGGGTATATAATAGGGTATATATTGGGGCTATATTGGGATAATTGAAAAGAAAATGGATACTACTGCAATATAATAGGGTATATACTGGGGTTCTACTGGGGTAATTGAAAAGCAAATGTAAAACTACCCTACTATAGTATATTAGGATTTTTATTGGGGTTCTATTGGGATAATTGAAAAGAAATTGGAAACTACTATAATATAATAGGGTATATATATAGGGTATATATTGGGTCTATATTGGGATAGCATAGGGTGCATTTTGGGATTATATCCCTAAATCCTAAGCCCTAATCGCTAAGCCCTAAACCCCAAACCCTAGACCCTAAACCCTAATCCCTAAGCCCTAAACCCCAAACCCTAAACCCTGAAGGAAAATGTAAAACTACTATAATACAATAAGGTTTATGTTGAGCGTATATTGGGATAATGGAAAGAACATGGAAACTACTATAATATAAGAAGGTGTATGTTTGGGTCATATTATTGGGATCATGGAAAAGAGCGTGGAAACTACTGTAATATCATAGGGTATATATTGGGGTTATATCCCTAAGCCCTAAACCCCAAACCCTAAAACCCTAAACCCTAAACCCCAAACCCTAAATCCTAAACCCATAACAGGCCTTGGCTTCCTCGGCTTTCAGCTCCCTGGCAGGCTTCCACATGTCCAGTCACAGCGCTCAGTAAGGGCTCTCAGTTTGATGGGTTTAGGGTTGAGGGTTTAAGGGTTTGTGGTTTAGGGTTTA